CCAAGCAGTAGACCATTCAGTCGACCACTTCACCAATCGCTATGACATGCACTGACCACCAGAGGGCAGACACTCCAACCAGTAGGTTAGCTTGCTGCTGGGGTCTAGCTGATCAGGTCTGGGCGAGATGGGCAAGACATGCCCTGGAACCCTCCCACGGTCTCTTCCCGGCTGAATAGCCCCAATCACCCCAATTGGGACTGGGCAAAATGGGCCAGGCATGCCCTGGAGCCAACCTCCTATGGTCACTCCCCAGCCTCTAAAATATTTCTTCTAATTAATTTCCTTTCAATGTGCACAAATTCATGTACTGGGCCTCTAGTCTATAATATTAAAAGTGTAATATGCAAATCGATTGACTGAACAGCAGCACGACCGTTCAGACGATCAAGCTATGACATGCACTGGCGCCAGGCCAGCCAAGGCAGGTGCAATGCAATTGGTCGGGGGAGGGCCCACCATTGCCCACAATCGCCCCACAGAGGGAGGCCCAGGCTACCGGACAGCAACGCTATGGCGGGTGTGCAGGGCTGGCCCGTGATTGTCCCTCAGATGGAGGCCCAGTCCAGCCAAGTGATTGCACCCCATGCTTGTTGCCTTCAGAGGGAGGCGACTGGTGGCAGGGGAAGGGGGCAGCACCACAAAGATAGCAAGCAGTGGCAGCGGCGGGGGCAGGGCCAGCTGCCAGCAGACCGGGAAAGGAAAGCCCCAATAGGCCCTAATCGCCAGCTAGGCCTAGGGACCCTACCCAAGGGGTCCCAGATTGCAAGGGGACGCAGGCCGGGCTGAGGCACACAACTCCCCTCCCCCATGCATGAATTTTGTGCACCAGGCCTCTAGTATAATAATAAACAGATTATTGGTTTAGTAGGAGGCACTATTTTTCTGACTCTGGTTAGATAACGTTTTTTTTTTTTTATTTCCAGCAAACAGATGGTGAAATAGAGCTTTCCTTTTTTTCTGCGTAGCTGCTTGAGTAGGGACTATATAATATATACTACAAAAGGACTGCTCAGTCAAAAGGTTTTACATAGAAGACAAAAGGTCACAGCCAGTGTCAGGTATTTTGTCATAGGAGAAAGAAGCTATGTCTCAGGTAATTCCATGACTGGCTCAGACACAGCTTTTATTGCATCCAAGGAAAATAATTATACTTAAATTGTCTGTTCTGAAATTGGTACTGTGTGTTTTTTGTTTTTACAAAAGTGAGACATTAGCAATTCAATATATATCTTTTAAAAAGCCCAAGTGGCTTATTAACAAATCCCGCTGTTGCCATTATAGAAATGGTCAATTCCCTTTCTCATCCAGCCATTTATGAATCATTGTTTCAACTCACATATAGCATTTTATATTTATATAAGAATAAATTATATATAATATAAGTATTACATAGTTGCCATTTTCTCAATATCTTGAAGGTATAGGATTTAAATAAGGTTTGCCTAAAGACGTATCTTTTCTTCCAAAGTCCTTTCTCAGGAACCCTGGAATCCTGATGTGTTGCATGGTTTAGGGCTTTTCTCCTGGCTTCTTGGTTCCTCCCCTGACTGTTGTGCTAGACTGTATTCCAGCTTCAGCCTTCCTTGAAGCTGGGTCTTGGGTTCACTTAGTTTTCCATATTTATCATGTGCTGGTACATTTAGTCTACCTATCATAACACATTCTCTCCTGATAATTTTATTGCCAAGGGATTTTTCAAGTGTCTTTATAGCCTCAGAGCACTTCAGCAGTGCAACTCAGAGGTCTATGGTTACTAAATTCTTGAGTCCATTTGGTCCCTTGAGATTTACTATAGCTGCTGTTAAGTCTAAGTATTGATATCTAGAATATTCTGGAAATTTAGATAGATAAAAACATATGTCCAGGCCCCTTTAACTTGACTTCTTAAATAGCATTTAAATAAAGACAGACAGACAAATTTATGTTGAGTATGAAAGCTATAGTTAAGGAGGGCTAGCTGAGTTTGTCTCCCTAGGAAGTTGGATGAACTTGAGTTCATTTTATGGTGATTTGGAACATTTTTGAGATGCAGAGAAAGTTGCTAAAAAATGTGACTGACACAAAAAGGTGGTTATTATCACAAACAAGAATGTGCATTTCTATCTTAAAGTAATTTACAATTTAACTTGATTGTATGTTTCTGACCTGCATCTCTGTTTCCACTGGTCAAGCAAGAAAACCGTCAAACCAGCTGGCTAGGGAAGGAGGCATCCTCAGGTGTTGAGGGAGCGAGGCCCAGGGGGTTTAGCTGGTGATCTATCTAACCTGCTTATGTGCATCCAATTCCTCTGCCCTTTTCTTGTCAGCTTCTCATGTCTTTGTTTCTGACCCTGGGCTTTGAACTTGACTTTCATTTCTGTCATTACCTTTTCCTTGTCTTTTAGACTCTCTCTCTGTCTTTTTGCCCCTGTCCTGTGGCAGGACTTTGCATCATGCTTTCCCTTTCCTGTCTGAAAATCTAACTTTACCTCAGACCTTCTGGAAACCCTCATGAAATGTTTGGGATGGTCCTTGAAATCTTACATCTTTCTCTTGTAACATTGGTTATGTGCTACATTGATCCTGGACTACAGAAGGCACCCTGTATTAAAGATGAGTGCCAAACAAACTCAGCTAAGATAAGTTACTTGTCTTCAGTTACTTTTTGTTTTGTTTTTGTTTGTTTTTTTAAGGAAAATGATAAATTCATCTTCTTTTTGCATAGTTTTTCTTCGTAACTTAAAGTGATTTATCTACTAATTATACTCCCCATTTCTCTGTAGGACAATGGAATGAAACATGCTCTTTGGTTTTTATATAACATGTGAAATACATGTGAAAGAAAAAATGTTATTTTTTTTTACTTGTGATATTTCAAGGTTTGCAAATATAGTAAAATTTAGAAGTTGCTGAAATCACTGGGCCACTTACTACTCTGTAACTATTTTCTTCTTTTGAGAAGCATCAGGGCATTCTTAGAAGAGGTATAGAGACACTCGTTCTTCCCCCGTTTAGTGTAACTCTGCCTCCCAGGACCCTGGTAGCAAAGTTTCAAAAGATGCTCTTCACACTTGACTGTAAGGAATACAAAGTTGATTAAGCTTCCAAATATTCTCTTTTTTTGTTTAATCACAGAATTGACTCCTGAGGAGAGAGCCCAAAAGATTGCCAAAGCCATGCGCAAGCAGTCTTCGGAAGTTAAAGAGAAGTGGGAAAGTCTAAATGCTGTAACTAGTAACTGGCAAAAGCAGGTGGACAAGGCGTTGGAGAAACTCAGAGACCTTCAGGGAGCCATGGACGACCTGGATGCTGACATGAAGGAGGCAGAGGCCGTGAGAAATGGCTGGAAGCCGGTGGGCGACTTACTCATCGACTCGCTGCAGGATCACATTGAAAAAACCATGGTCAGCATCACTGCCTCAGATAAGGGGTTTTACAACATGTTTTTTGGTTAAATGTGGCACAATTAAAGAGTGCCAAATGTATAACTTGTTACAAGGGATTGTTATAAGGTCAATGCCATTACAGCCCCTGCCAAAATCAGGATAGAGATTTCCAGTCACAACAGATGCTTTCCTATGCCCCTTCCCATCAGAATCCTCCCCCCAATAGCAACTCTGACTTTTTTCCATAATTTACGTTATTTTTGAAAAAAATAATATTTTTTTTTACTCCACTGTGCATCCCTAAACACTTGCTTGGTTTTTAAGAAATATTTTAAAGTCCCTTTTAATCTCTAATATTCCCCTCCATCTTTTTCTTTCTTTCTTTTTTTTTTTGCAATGCAATTGTTAAGGCAGCTGAATTGTTTGTTTTATAGTGTTTCTCACAGCTTGGAATTTGCAGAATGTCATCCACATGGTGTAATCTGGCAGATTCCTCTCTACTCTGTATTTGCTGTAAATTGGTATTGAATTTAAGTTTTAGTCAAAAGTATCCTGTTTTACTGGGAATTCTTATCTACATAATATGTATATATAACATTATCTATACTATATAATATACTCAAACATTAGAGTGTATCAATGGAAGATTCGTTTAGCTATAAATTCTGTTTTTGGTCAGGAATAGCCCAAAGTTAAGGTGTTAGATCTATCTTCTGGACCCCCTTTTGATACAGTATTCTAGAACATATCCAGAAATAAAGTTAATGGGATTTAAGCAGTTAGAGAAACAAATAACAGATTTAGAGTATAGTGTGGTTTGTAATAGCATGGTAAACTATATACTGCGTAGTTAGAAATCAAATCAAAGAATGAACTAGTGACAAATCAGAAGGTGTTAATTGGTAATATCTATCATGAATAGGATTTTTATTGCAAAAGTCATCCCTCTTCTGTGCACAGACATTGGATAATGCTTTCCCTTTGTTTGTAAACATGTGACTGAATAGGAAAAGAAGAAAGGTCTAGGTATTTAACTGAATACTTAGATAAATTACATATATGTGGGTGGGGGGTATGGGAATAATAGCATTTATTGAGGTGCTATGTGCCTGGAACTTCCTTAGCAGTTTACATGGCTATCTCTTTTAATCATCACACTAACCCAATAGGATAGGTATTATTATTATTATGCCCATTTTATAAAGGATGGATTTGAAGATATTGCTCAAGCCCACATAGCTAGTAAGTGGTAGAGTTTTCATGATCTGTTTCTTGCTCTTCACTTTCGTTGTAGAGACCTCATTCATAATAACGTAATTAAGCACAATTTTGATCATCTACTTAAATTCAAAGCTTTAAAAGTTACATGTTAAAATTTAAACTTAAAAAAAATATTATTACTAAAAGAGTATTGGTGCCTGCCATCTTTCATTTTAAATTTACACACCGTTCCAGCCACCCAATGAGTTAAGTGAGTTTCTTCCTACAACTCTAATATTTTAAAATCCATGTCTATGGGTGGATCTGAGTTTTGAATAACCAAGTGAAAATAAAGCTCCTTTGGAAGTTGCATACTTCTTGTATTTTACTTTTTATTAATCCTCACCCAAGGATATTTTTAAAAATAATTTTTTGAGAGTGGAAGGAAGGGGAGAGATAGAGAAACATCAATGTGAGAGACATATCGATTGGTTGCCTTCGGCCCTTGACTGGAATCAACTCTGGGAAACTGTATTCCGCAGGCTGATCCTCTAACTACTGAGCCAAACCAGCTATGGCTACTTCCTTTATTTTGAGAGATGGTTTTAAACACTGAAGATCTTCAAGTCAGTGGTCTACAAACGCATGTTCCTTTGGACTGCAAGATGTCTTTTGGATAGAGCAAGAATTTATCCATTTGAATATGAAATATCAGTTTTTAATATAGGATGATTAGTGCTGGATGAAAATAAAAAGTTGCATCAGGTTATTAAAGGACAAAAAGTTTTGGCATTGTTAATCTGATTTGATTAAAGAAATTATCCAGTGCTGCATCCAAATCCTTTTGTTCAAATCTCTGCTTACATGGAAAGCTAGGAAAGTTACAATTAATATTAAGAGAAAGGAATAAACTGTGGATTAAGATATTTTAACATCTTATTAGGAAAAAAGAAAATAAAAACCCAGATCTTACAGTTGGGGCGTTTTACATGTGTTCTAACATATACCCCAAATCCCATCGAAGCTACAGGCAGATGAAAGTAAGTACTGATTATTGCTAAATATTATTCAATATGCCAAAGCAAGTGGGAAACTAAATCTTTGGGGTAATCAAATAATTTTAACTCCCTAAAATTATCTTGTCTTTCTTATTTGCATAATGCACACCTGATTGGAGACCAGTCTGGGTTTCACATCTGCCAACAGGCTGCCAGGCAGTGCCTTTAATACTAGCAGATGTTTCTGTTTTTACGGCCAGAAGACCACATAGATTTTTATTCTCCTATAGGAAAGTACAGCCAGAACATGATAAATTGCTTCTTCGTAATAGAACACATGGCAGATCTGAGATCATTTTAAAACTTGCTTTATTTCTAGCCCCTTAATTTGGAAGCTTCTACAAACCAAACTATATACTTCCTTAAGAGATTTCTTGTTGCCATAAAACACCTGACCACTGCAACAGAAACAAAACCTACAGATCTTGTTTGTCACAGATCTTTTCATGTTTTTACCTGTGGCTTGTAAGAGAAAAACATTATTTTGTCATTCTGGAAGATTTTAAAATCTGTCTTAATGTTAGAATCTAATTTTAAAAGTTTTATCTTCTGAAGGGCATCTTTTGATGTCTTTTGAAGGTCATTTAAAATTTTATAAATCTGAGAATATTTTCTAGCATTTTATTTTTAATCTTTAATATCTATGTTTTGGTATTTTACAAAGATATTGATTTTAAAAGATTAAAAATCTTGAGTCCTCCAAGGAGAGAATATTAATGTATAATATTAAAATCACAACTGAAGAAAACTTGAAGGGTTTAAATTCCGTAGGTATTCTAAAACTGAATCTGAGGGACACCAGGTTTCTTCAAAGTCCAGGCTGAAAAAATTCTCCTTCCCCATCCTAACTCCCAATTCTCTTTGTCGCATGGGTCCGTTTCAGTGATTAATTCCGTAGGCCTATCTTATATTAACACAATGCCTTTGTTATCATATAACTGCTTTCCTCGCTGGGCTGTATGTGTGTGCACCGTCTGACATCAGCCACGGAGAGAAGCTGTCACAACTCCGAGTTCTTTCTTTTTCCATTTTGCAGCAATTCACATGTCTTTGTGGGCTTGCCTTCTTCTACTGATTTTGAAATGTCGATGTCTTTAGAGTTCTGGTGATGTTTCCTACCTTTGGCCCATTGGCGTGCAGGTACATTGCTTCAAATGTATGCACTGCTACCTCCACCATCCGTACTTTTCACTCCGACTCTGGCTCCAGATCTGCCCCCGCTGAGTCCCCACCTTAGCTTCTTTATGTGGCTTTTAGGCATGTTCAAAATTTTGAAACACTGATGCATATTCTCTGATTTGCCTAGAATTAATTTCTTTAAAAAAACAGTTATATTCTTAATATCATTTTGATGTTTATCAATCGTAATGATTATTTTTAGCCAAGGCGCATTATATAAGGAAGAATTCTATAGGGTAACTAGAAAAGTTTTGGAGAAGGAAGGAGGGAAGTAGTTAAAGGGGCTTTCTTTTTATACTCATAAGGAGGAAGCCAAATTAATACTTGTAGTGTTTTAATAAAATGTTATAGTTCCCAAAGCACTTTAATACATATTACTGCATTCAACTTGGAGTGGTGAAAGAGGAGGAGAAAGGGCATATGCGTAGTCTCTTAACGGTGGGGATTGAAACCTGAGGGCTGATGCCAATAGGATGTTCACAACACCTAATACCCATGAGTTAAAATTTAATACATGATTCACTCTAATCTTATGATGTACCAAAAAAAAATAAAATTACACAGTTCTATTTTTAGAACCCATTCTGTTCCCAATTCCATATTGGCTTAATCTTGCTTCAAAAAAAATCATTTTTGGGGGCCTGCGTCAATAGAAAGGAAGTCTGTCCCTCTTGTATTGCAAAACGTGTGCTGAATTTTGCCAGGTGCCTGTCTCAAGAAGCTTCCATTCTACAGGGGGGACATTAAGAATATGGATGCTTATGCTTTTATGTACTAAGAGCTCTGATAAGGAAAGATATTTAAAATGCATAACAACTGGATGGTATGGCACCAAACAATCAGAGTGGCCTCCACTATAAAGCCCAGTTTGTGTGTCAAACAGGTGCAAGTTGAATGTCCTGGCTGGGTTGGAGAAGGTGGAGAGAATCCTGGGGAACCCATGGGAGGGCCCGAGGGAAATCTTTTCTGAAATGGTGTGTATGCGGGCACCTGAGTGGAGTCTTAAAGGATCTAGGCAGACAGTTGGAAAGGGAGGCTTGAACATGAGGCAGGTAAAATTATGTGAGGAATGGAGAAAACGTAGTGTTCGTATTATTCTGCTTGCTCTCACTGTCATGGCCCAAGTATTATTTTTTGTTTTGTTTTTTTCTTTCTCTCTCACATACCCTCCTCATTCCAAACCATACCAGCTCTGGACTGTGCCAGAGATGGCATTTCTCAGTTCTACGCTTCATTTCCCTCTTTTCCTGTATCTATATCAATGATCACAAATGTTTTTGAAAGGGACAGCCTTACCTCTCCAGTACATATAGGCATCGGTTTTGTGGTTAAGGAAGATGGTTTTACTGGCCACTTTTAAAGTTAATTTTCGATGAAAACTTGTTAAAATCAAGTTGTTGCATTGGTGAAAAAATATTAAGGTAGCCATCTGAAGAAAGAAAAGAGAAGGAAATATGGAAGAAATTTAAAGATAGAATCAAGACTAGAAATTCGTAAAGTAGATTATAATGGCAGATATTATCTAGACTAAATCACATATAATGAAAAATTTGAAGGAAATACATACTCACTTCAATGTGTTTGCATTATATCTTTCTCATCGCGTCCTATCTCAGTTTGTCCGTGATATAAAGGAAGACTCTTTTTTTAAAATTTCGTTTTATTGCTTAAAGTGTCGCAGAGAGTATTACATATGTCTCCTTTTTCTCCCCATTGACCTTTCCCCGGCCTCCCCTACTCCCCAGTGTCCTGTGTCCATTGGTTATGCTTATATGCATGCCTACAAGTTCTTCGGTTGATCTCTTACCACCCCCCATCCCCCAACCCTCCCCGGCCTTCCACTGTTGTTTGACAGTCTTTAGCTGGTGGTCTTGATTGCTGAAGACCGGACGTGAATCAGCCCTTCCTTGTTGATTAAATAATTGTCGTTGGCCTCTCAGCTGATCTTGCCATTGGAAAGTTCAAAATACATACCACCTTCCGTTATATTCTTTTCTGATGCCCTCATTATTGTCCTTTTCTTCCAGGCATTTAGAGAAGAAATTGCACCAATCAACTTAAAAGTTAAAACAATGAATGATTTATCGAGTCAGCTGTCTCCACTTGACCTGCACCCATCTCTGAAGATGTCTCGCCAGCTAGATGACCTTAATATGCGATGGAAACTTTTGCAGGTATCATCAGCCTATTCCTCTTCATAATTCAGGCTTAGACCTTGGTGGATTTTTAAACCATACCTGCTATTCTGCCGCATACCATCATTTTTTTCCTTTATTGGTGTGTTTGATAATGGATTCATAGCATGTGCACTCAAAAGCCTCATTTATTTATGAGTATAAGTTTTAATGTAATTTTTGATGTACTATTCGTATGATATTTGTAGAAAATTGCAAAAGGTCAAATAAATCACAGTAATTGAAACATATGGTAGGTCACAGAAACATTTCCCCATAATGGCTTATAAAGGAGTCATTTTTCTTACTTTAATCATGTATTTTTTTACTTCTTTTGAAAACTTAAGAAAGTCTTCATCTTTCTTATTGCAACCGCTTGTTCTTTAGGTATCTTGCTCAATTTTTACAGCCAGCACATTGGTACTATTGTGGTGTTTACCTTTAGCTCGGAGATCTTAGCTGCTGTAATGCAGTTATTTTAATGACTCTATATCTTACTTGCTTGTCTCAGATTTAACCCAGAAGAACTAACCCAAACCCAGAAGAACCCTCTCGAGTATTACTAGGTACCAGCATTAGCCAGCCACTGCCCTTTGGACCATCTTTGTGGAGCTTTGACACATTCAGGGGCCAATACCCAAGAGTCATAATAATCTTTTTTTTTGAAAACTAGCAGAATCATTTGAGTGGGAGAGTGAAAAAAATAATTTTTACTAATTCCTCTCTATATTCTGGGCCTAAAATGTGATATTTAATAATATAAATATGTAATTTTGAGGTGGCACACAGAAACATTTGAAGGCATAATAGGTTTCCTGAATTAATTCAAACATTGAAACACACAATGGGTTTATATTTTCTTCATGAAATTGAAGTGGTACGAAATGAGTTCTATAGTATTAAACATTCCTTTTTGTCTTTGAAAGAGTATTAATAATCTGGGATTAGTATGGCAGAATACTAAACTCAATGCCAATGTGCTTTTCTAATGAGTGGAAGACAGAAATGTTTGACCAATACTCCTTTTTTTCTTCTGTTTTATTTCTTGAATTCATCATTTTTATGTAGGTATTCCTGGGGTCCATCTTGATTTCCTTCCCATTCTGCTTCTGTTATCACCATCTGAAAAGATTAGAAGTCAGGGAATATGCTATGCTCAAAACAGGATATGTGTTCTGCTTTCTTTATTTCTGAGCCTGGTGACTGCTAGAACTCAGATGCTAGTTGCTGGTTGAATAAGAGAGGGAAATCTATGCTGCCAGACAACGCTGTTAAATTTCAGAAGTAGCATCTTGTTTTCTCCTCCTAAATGTAAAGTGTGGCATAGGAGTACTTTTTGGCCTTAACAAAAATAAGTACTTGCTCTGCAACTTAAATAGCCACCCAGGAGAAACTAAAGCTGCCCAGTGAGCCAGAGATATGCACGTTTCATTTAAAGGCAGCTGAAAATAAGATCGGCAGACTAAGTGGAACAGCTTACATGCACTATAGAGGCAAAGACCAGGAAAAGAGACATGGAAATGTCAGTAGGCTGTGTGCATTTGTTATTGATTGGCAATAGTTTCTCAGTGTACCAACTCTTTGCGTTTTCATAATGTAGAGAGTTAACCATACAATCTGTGTAAACGAATGCAGAAGCATATTCTTCTGTGGGTATATGAATACCCCCAAATCAAGATGATTGGACACAAACTTGGAGGAAAATAAGATATTCCATACTCATCTGTCTTATCTACCTGTCTATCCACCCATCATCTATTTGTCTGTCTGTCTGTCTATCTATCTATCTATCTATCTATCTGTCTATCTATCTACCATCTAATTCAGCCATCTTTCTATCTTTCTATCTATTTTCTCCGTTGGAATATTTTAGATCTTCATTTTCTCCCCATAACACTTTTTGCCACCTTTCTTACAAGAGAGAGATGAATAGCCACTGACCCCGTGGCCACATCTTCTCTTAAGATGTTTATGACCTTTACTCTCTTGAGGCAATGTAGAGTGACAGCAAAGGCATAGATCCTGGCACCCAATGAGCTGGTTATGAATATTAGCACTATGCATACTAACTTTATGTCCTGGACACCTCTGTATGTCTCAGTGTCTTCATCTGTAAAATGGTGATCGTAATAAATAATGCCAATTATGTTGATTATGAGGATTAAAAGAGTTCATCCCTATAAATTGCTTAGAAGAGTGCCTGGCACTATTCGCTGTCACTTGGTACCAAAAGGAGTCTGTTTTCATCCCAGCATTTTGATTTTAGAGATAGAGGAGGAATCTGTACAAGCAATCATATCTGGGGCAGTAACATCTTTTATAATAACGCTTAAATCAGGAACATTATTAAAGTTATTATTTTGAAATCGAATTCTTTTGCAGGTTTCTGTGGACGATCGCCTTAAGCAGCTACAGGAAGCCCATAGAGATTTTGGACCATCTTCTCAGCATTTTCTCTCCAGTAAGTACTAATAAACGTGACTGAGCTCATGAAATGGATGAATCAGCACGCTTTTTCACTCAAGAAGCAATATTTTTTCTATAAATATGTTTACTTATATTAGATCAATGTATTGTTTATTGGTTCTTATTTATAATAACCTGGTAACAATTGGTAAATCTTTGAAGTGGAGCCAAGGTAACTTGTCTTTAGCTGTGGCATTCCACTGAACCATCATCCTAATCTATAAAGAGCCAGGGTCCGTACATCCAAAATGACTGAACGGGCGACTGAACACCAGGTTGCGCACACAGCAGGCTCAGGTGGGTGGGGACTGGCGAGCGGGCTGAACTGCTGACCTCTCGGTCCCTCCTGGGTCGCGGGCACCGTGGAGACCCAGCATTGACTGCCATCCAGCGTTGACTGCCACCGCCAAGGCGGGTACAATGCGATTGGTCGGGAGCCCCGCCATCATCCCATGATCGCCCCACAGAGGGAGGCTCAAGCCACCGGCCACAGGGTTCCCCGATCGCCCCAAAGAGGCAAGAGGGTAGCCTCGGCCTCCCTTTTTGGGGTGATTGCAGAGCCTTCTGGATGGTGGCAGAGCCTGGGTCTCCCTCTTCGAGGCAATCAATCACGGGGCTCCCGGACTGCAAGAGGGCTCAGGCCAGGCTGAAGGACCCCCCCACCCAAGTGCAGGAATTTCATGCACTAGGCCTCTAGTCTATTATAACTACTATAGTGTCACAGCATCATTACTATTCACATGCAAAGGTTATGAACTTTTTCACAATAAATAAATCATTTTTGTATCTTAAGATTTTAAATTAATTTTTCTCTTTTAAAAAGCACTATTAGTTTAAAATGCACCTGTGCCTTTCAAAGTAAAACTTCATTCCCCACAAATGTTTAAATGAGAAGATTTTGGGTTGTTAGGCTCACTGCAATTCTATTTAGCTTTTCTCCTGGTCAGGTGTTAGAGACTTAGCCAAAACACATATGCAGATTTCCATGTAATCTTCTCCAGCTGAACTTTTTTATTTTATAGACTGTTGATGAGATCTTGAATAAGTAATTGGAGCCCCTACTCTAGCCTTCACTGCCGAGGAAGCCAGAGAGCATAGGAATCAGTCCCCCAGATTGGGGATAACACAGTAATTCTGCTTAAAGTTAATTTCTTTATCTTAAAATTATTATGATAATACTTATTTCCTCTATCATCTTGAAAATTAAATGAGAAAACATGTTGTGTTGCACAAGGTACCTAACACAGTTCTTGGCACAAATGTTTTCACTAAACATTAATTCCTTTCCTTTCATTGTCTCTGGCAAACATATGTAAGAACAGAGTTTGCTTATTTCAGTTTAGGGGAAGTTTAAACTTAAGGCAAAGTGTATTCCCCAGTTGTTATAACTTCTTTGTATCTACAACCCTAGAGAGAACTGAAGTAATACCTTGTCTCCAACTAAATTGATTACAGTTATATTTCTCTTAACCTTTTGTCATGGTTGATAATCTGCTCTACCTCCAAGTCAAGGTCAGGCTTTTCTTTCACAATTTCAAGAGTAATCCTAATTAGTCATTTCTGCCCAGCACACCCCTAGTGCTCAAGCTCTCTTTTCCTCC